TATGTGGCTCTAAGGTTACCCAAAAGCTTATTGGATGAAAAAAATGTGCCAAAGGTGCAGCTGTTTTGTTGTTGTTTTGTTTTGTTTTGTTTTGATTCTGAGCTGTAAGTGATAAAAAAATCAAAGTAAATTGTTGAACTTTAGGCATGTTTAACATAGGGGTGAAGCAATCTGGAAGTAGAACTAAGATAAGTGGCTTTGACTGTGTCTATTATGACTCCAGGGTCCAGTTCTCCTTGTGTGAAACCCATCCTGAGAAGGAGACATGTGTTTCTAACTCAAATTATCTGTTCATATGGGCAAAAAGGAGGGGTTTTTCCTAGTGTGTTTCTTGAAAGTGTTTCCCTCCCAATTCCCACAAAATTTCTGGTTAATTCAACTGAAAAAAAAAGTCATTTTCTAAACCTATGGCTATTGTCAAATATTTTAGCATGTTGTTTGTTGTTAGAATAGCCTACTATAGGCCAGCTAATTTACAGATCAGGTCATGCTTCATTTAGAAGGTCATTGTTGAAGAGCTCGTATTCGGTGAGGACCTTCTTGAATTAACTCATGATTAAAGGACCAACAGACAAATGTGGACATGAGAAAGAGAAGGGAGCCACTCAATCTTTTCTACCAAGATCCCATTACTGCAATTGCCTCTTAATGCAAAGTTAAACTCATCAATTTGTCATGAGCTGTTATATGAGAATCCTCCTTTTCTATGAAGTCCTCCAACTCTCAACACCATTGTATTGGGGTTTAAATTTACAACAGTTGAATCTTGTAAGATACAAATAAAGAATAGAACCATGAGAAGATGCTATTGCCTGCATATATCAAATGAGATTAACCACTGGGAGGAAATCATGATTTTCTTCAGGAAGAGATAGAATTAGAGAAGTAGCCCCTCCCCACTTAATGGCAGTCACTCAGAGCAGTGTGCATCCTGGAACAGTGTGAAAGCAGAACTTCAATCCAGGTAATTTAAATAGATCCGATCAAGGTCAATATGGAAGATTAGCATCAGCACTTAAAGCTAAACAAATCACGTGGTGATGAAATTTGTACATTCAGAAGACACAGCTTTAAAGTTAAGGGAATTAGAGCAGCAAACTAAACTACTGTCTCAAAGTTCTCACCAGACTTGATGAATAATTAGAATGTATTGATCAGGCACTGAGACAATTTCATTGCTAATCTTTAACATTTGGGACTTTTTTTTTTTGGGGGGGGGTTACATTTTATTACATTTACAATGTGATCACTTTTTTCAGATTGGTGTCCTCATTTTCTTATTTTTTTAAAATCCTGTAAAATAAATCATTCTTTAAGGGTTTTCATTAAATAAAAAAAACCTTCTTGGTACTTAAAATATGATGATGCTCATAAAACCTGATTAGCATGATAACTTAGAAACATTTGATAAAATGTTTACTATTCTATCAGGGCTCTGGAAGGCTTTGCAAGCTGTAAAGGCATTTGGCTTGGTCATCAGGATATTTTGTAACTTACGAAAAAAAAAGAAGAAGAAGAAAAAAAAAGAAAGAAAAAATTTGGAATTTATGGCTTCTTTTAAAAATTGCAAGTGGCAACAGGAACTCAATGACTGGCTCTTTGGCCTCCCCATCCCCCAAGGGAGGAGCAGTCCTGTTAGGCCACAGAGGAGAGCTTTGCAGCCAGTCCTGAAGATACCTGATAAAACAGGATCAGATGAATGGTGAGGAGGTCCCCCCTATCAGTGGACTTGGCAAGGGGCACGGTGGAGATGAGGGAGGGAGGGAGGGACTGGGAGGGAATGAGGGATCGGGAAATGGCTGGGATACAGAGTTAATAAAATTAAAAAAAAAATTGCAAGTGGCACCTGACAATACAAATTTTGTTTTTTAAAAACTGTAAATTCTTATGGGCATGTTTGATTTTAGCAAAACATAATATATTAGGAATTTATAAATTGGGAATTTTTAAAGTCTTACTATACCCAGAGATAAAATTGGCAGTGTTTTAAGTATATATTTTTCAGTTTTTAGCATATTTTATCTTCACAAAAATTTATAGTTTACCATTTTATTATATTTTATAAACAATATAAATAATCAGGTGTTGTGATAATTTTTTTTCTAAAAGTGAAATGTTTGAAATCATAGTTTAAACAGTTGTAGTGTTTTCTGATTTCCTATTAAGAGCTGTGCCTAGAGATTCTCAGCACTGAGAATCTGAATCACTGAGAATCACTGAGAAACTGCACTGAAAAGAGATAAAATTACTTGCAGACATTTTAAAAGGGTCATTTATATTCCCATTTATAGTATTATATGATAAAACTAATGCAAAGCAGACTATATTTTTTAACTTAAACAGTAATATATATAGCTCTGTGGCTCAAAGGTTAAAATGTCTTACTGACCTTTCAGAAGAGACACTTCACTTCCCAGCACCCACATCTGGCAGTTTACAACTACCTGTAACTCCAGTTCTAGAGCATCTGATGCCCTCTCTTGGACAATGTGCATATCTGCTATCATGTTCTATACATAAGCTTACCCTGCTATGCACACACACACACACGCACACACACACAGAAAAACAATTAAAATATCACCTCTGGACTACCTTGGAATATTAGCATTGAATGGTGATCAGAAAACACTTTCTTGTCCAAATGTGTGCTAAAAACCAACTTTAAGATAAGAACACACAGATCAGTGCTACTTTTTAAGTTCATGAAAAGTTTTAGAATTGTGTTCTATCTAAACGTTTTCTTCTAGGCTATTATTTGATAACACCTGAGTGGCTTGAGAATTTTTCCCAAGATGGAGTAACTATTAACAAAGACAAAAATTAAGGAGATAATGTTGTTCTGTCTACATCCCTGTAGTTGTTCAATCTGCCCTATATTCAGTCTCTGATCTTTTCAAGTATGCAACTGGGAACATTATTGGATTCTCAGGATCTCTGTCTAACATAAAAAAAAACAGAAACATGCTAAAGATTCTTTTTCGGACCCTGTGTTAAGGTCTATATCTAGCATTACAGGATAGCCCCTGAGCTTGGTGCTAAAATGATGGACTCTCTGCCTTACCTGGGCTCCTTCCTCTCCACCCAATCTGTGGAAACCCCAGATCCTCTAAGGAGTGTCCTATCTGGGAGATTACAAGCCTAACCCTTTTCAGATAAGAAACCCATCCAGTGTGTACCTTCACGTTCCTGGACATCTTCTTTCCATGTTGAAAAGATGTCTTGGTACCTTAGCCTTCAACCAATAGTCTTTTTTCATACCACTAACCATACCTGAAGTTCTTCCTCCAGCCCCTGCTCCCCACAGGATGAGTAAGTACTTTGTTCCCCTTCTTTTGATTGGATCATGCTGCTACATGTACATGAGGTATCGCTGGCACTTCTAACCCCAGTAAATCAAACATATTTACCTCCGAGACTCCTCCTACTGCTCAAGGTTTATAAGTTCCTATTTTACATGATATAAAGTGGGGGGGGCATAGAGTACCACCATCTACTTCACAAAAGATCGAGCGAGACTCATCGTTTATTCTGAGGGAAAAAAAGGCTTCCCATCTCTCTGAAGAATTCACTGTTGGATCCCTGGGTTTGACTGCTGATCACACTGCCACAGGGTGCTGGCCAGTGCAAGCTTCCACTATTCATCTGTGTGTCAGTGCAGATAGACACCATCATTCTCACACAACTCCACCCACCAAAGTGCCCATCTGGGAAGGCAAGTGGGAAGCAGCTATTCTGTCCATTGGAACAGTGGCTCCCAGCACTGCCTCTCATTTTTGGAGCCCCGGACCTTCTTTACAGGCTGTTCTCCAAGAGTTCACTAACTTGCCTCAGTCAGGCCAGACTCTCCTTGTCACCTGGTTTGAGTTTTGGAGGCCCGGGTTTCTTGCTTTCAACTGGCCTGGTGCTGGCAGCTCAGCTAAAAGAGCAGTTTCTGCTCTGTATCCTACTTGGCTAGACAGCAGCATTCTTGGGAGAGGTAGAACCTTTGATCCCATGCTTTTCCCTTCTCTACCTGGAAGCCAATGGTTCTCAGGCCTTCACTTGGGAGAAGTTTTCAATTCTCCTCAGGTGCGTGTATAACAGTGGACTGCTCTCCTGAGTGTTGCAGCAGGTGAGGGACAGGGACAACTCTCCTGCTCTCATGATCCTATCTGAGCCAACTCTCAAGGCAAAAGGGAGAAAGGGCTTTCCTTTTTGCCCATACTGCCACACAGAAGACAGGAAGCAGGACTGACCCTCCCATGCTCACACCTTCAGAGTAGCCTTTCTTGCACTGCTGCCACTAGGGTCTAGCGTGCTGCCCAGGTAAGGTGCATGGTCTACTCTATTAAGTGCTGCAGCAGGTTAGAGGCAGAGATAGCTCTCCTGCTCTCATGCCCCCAGAGCCAGCTTTCCCTATATGACTAAGTGAAGGATGGGGCCAGTTATGGATAGCCCTCAGACATCAACCAACATGTCTCTGGGTGTCAGTCCAGACCAAGGATGTCCACCTGATATTTGGTGGCAACAGGCCCCTGTTGCTGCAGGACCATGGACCCAGACATAGCCCCTGGTGGCAGCATAGGCCAGGACCTCACTGTGGTCTTAGGTGTTCCTCATTACCCTCAAGTCTCCAGTTCTGTCTCTCTTCATTTGTACACACATACTTCTTGTTTCTCTTTCTTTTTCATTTCTGCGAGTGTCTGGAGTCATCTCAGGAGTGGTTTCAGGAGCACTATGCCCAGCTTGTACATTATGACACAGACATGGTATGCCCCTCATCCACAAGCCTGCATTGGACCAGATTGGTGGTCATCTAGGACTAGCTTCCTGTCTGGACACCATGACACCAGTCTGGTGGTTGTCATGGGTTAGCTCCTTGACCAGGCCCATCCTCATGGATCCATGCCAGGGATCTTTATCTAGGGTTCACTCCTGCCTGGGGCTGTGGTCCCAGGTGGTGTTCCATCATTCTCTGGCTCATTCCCCATCCATCATGGGAGGGTCTTCTGGTGCCCGATGTTAGGCTACTAATCATTCAGATGTCCACAGGTTAGAACACTGAGAGTAGGCATAGCCTCCCTCCTCTCTGTCACCTACTGACCCACATGTGGCACAGCAGCCACACTTCCAAAGCCTCTAGAGGCAGTGACAGTTTTCTTAAAAGGTAAAAACTATCAGATTTAGTATAGAAGAAATTAAATCAGATTAAATATTCACACACCAAATAGGATTTATAGTTATTTGCAAACAAGGAAGTTATGTATAGTTGTCTTCACTCTCTTCTTTTCTCAATAATTTGGGCAATACATAATTGCAATACTATTCAAGTGTATCAGAAAAACAGGAAGTATTTTTTCAATAATTAATTATAATTTTACTTCTTAAAAAAACAAAGGTGTTATATGAAAGTAAATATGAAGAATCTTATCTCCAATGCAAACAGTCAGAACATTTAAATTGAATCAATAAAGATATTGCAAGTAAAGAAAAACTGGATCATGATTTCAATGTATGTAAATAAAATCAATTGACATATCCAATAGTAATTCATACTTTTTATGACTTATCATGAAATGCTCTCAATTTAGTAAAAAACATCTACCAAAAAATATGTATCATAAAAACCATCCTGAGTGACTAACCCAGGCCCAGAAAGACACATGGTATGTACTAACTTCTAAGTGGATATTAGCTACAACATACAGGATAACACATGTTGCAATCCATAGACTCAGGGAACCCAAGGAGGGCCCAAGGGAGGATGCTTGAATCTTACTGAGAATATGAAATAAAATAGACATCTGAAGTAGATGGAGGGAGGGAAGTGGTTGGGAGAGCGGGTGAGAGGATGGTAATGGGCTAGAGATCAAGTCTGAGAGGGTTGGAAGGAGTATGGATATAGGTGGGGGGCATTTGTGGAAAAGGGGAGGCTCCCAGGAGTCTATGGGGATGACCGTAGCTGAGACTCCTAACAACAGTGGTTAAGGAGCCTGAAGTCACCACCTCCTGAAGACAGGTGGGACTTCCAGTAGAGAGAGAGGGGTACCAAATCACCCACAAACCTTAGATCCAAATTTTGTCTTGCCTACAAGAAGTATAGAGATTAAGATGGAGCAGAGATTGAGGAAATGGCAAATGCATGACTGCCCCAGTTTGAGTTCCACTCCATAAGAGATAAGTCAACCACTGTAACTACTAGGTGTTCTGCTATGCTTGCAGACAGGAACATGGCAACTGACTTCCGAGAGGCTTCATCCAGCAGCTGATGGAAACAGATACGGAGTCCCACTGCCAAACAATAGGCCTAACTCTGGACGTTTTGTGGAAGAGTGTGAGGAAGGATAGAGGGAGACAAAGGGGTCAATGATACCACAAGAAGACCTACAAAGTAAACTAACCTGAGCCCATAATGGCTCACAGAGGCTCACAGAGACTGAACCATGAACCAAAGAGTATGCATGGGCTGTGCTTAGACCCCCTCAGACATTTTTAGCAGATATACAGTATGGTAAAAATATGGGCCCGCTAACTATGGAAGTAGGGGCTGTCTCTGACTTCATTGCCTGCCTTTGGATCCTTTTCCCCTAGCTGGACTGTCTTGTCAGGCCTCAGTGATAGAGGATGTACTTAGACCAGCTGTGATTTGAGGTTCCAGGGTGGGTTGGTACACCTTGGGCTCTCTCCTTCTCTGAGAGTAAGGAGAGAGCTGGAATGGGAGGAAAGGTGTGAGATCAGGACAGGGAGGAAAGGAAGAAGGAGGCTGGGATTAGCCTATAAAGTGATTAAATAAATAAAGAAAGAAACCAAAAATCTTAATTGGCACCAACATAATTCATTTCTTGAAGGAAAATTTGGCATCGAAAGTTATTACCAACAGAATAAATCAAGAAATAGAAACACACATGTAAAGAAGAAAAGAAAATCATTATTCCTGGAAGTTATGGTCACCTATGGAAATAAACAAAGGGATCTACAAAATGCTTTCAGCACACATAAGAAGCTTAACTTGGTTAAAAAATGAGGTGTTACAATGAGAGAAAATATTTTCAAAGTAAATATTTTATAAAAGCGTGTACTTAGAATATCCAAAGAACTACTAAAATTCAACACCAAGAAAGCAAGCACTCAATTTATATATGAGCAAAAATTTCTAACAATTTATCAAAAATAAACAAGGGACAATTATTTATATGAAAAGTCTTACATTGTTAATTATTTCAAAAATGAAACTGAAAATATACACACAGATATTTCTGCATATACACTAGGACAGGAAATTTAAACATATAACAAACACTTATGAAGCAAATGACAATAAAGGCTTGAAGCAGCTCGAATATTGGCATGCTGCTCTTAGTAAGGGAGCATTTTCCAACAGATGTTTGGGAAGAGTTTCGAAGTTTCTTATATGAGTAGTAAGAATGCATGTGTAAATGTGCATCTATTGGGTGAACTAATCATTTTAGTATGAGGCATCGAGTCAAGAACAGTGAAAGTAAACCCAGCTACTCAAATGTTCACGGGAGCTTTATTTATTCAAGACAACCTAAATACTACCAACTCGCAGCAGAGGAATCAAACTGAAATCTCCATATCCAATAGAATACCACTTAGCACAAAACTGTACCATGTCAAATGAAAGAAGCCACATACTAAACGTAAGATAGTGTTTGATTGCGTTTACGTATAATTTTCAAACGGAAGATAACATTTGCAGAACAGAAAAAAAATCATTCGTAGCTGGGATGAGGATTTCAGAGTAGTGATTATTCGAGTGCATTTTAGCAATGCATTGTTGGTGATGGGAATCCTGTGTGATTTAATTTTAGTGCTCTTTCATGGCTTATAAAGTATTTCCCAAATTTACTGAACAGTAGCCTTAGCACTATTGTCTACAAACAATGAAAAAGAATATTATCAACTACTTTGCCTAATATACCTCCCCAAACTACACATAAATATGATCTCTGAACTTCCCAGCAGTCAAGATGTTGTTATCTATAATCTACTATGAAGAGTGGCATGTTCTTTTTATTTAGTTTCTATTATGAAACTCTCCCCATTAAGTTATGCTCTACAGGCAAGTTATCATATATGTTTTAAAATTTTTATGATGGCCTTATATTAACATTTCAGTTTTATACAACCAGAGATATAATTCCATTTTAGTTTACTATACATAACTTCCTAATTCTCCTCTTATTAGATAATTTTATTCACTTTTGAAAATGTAAGTGAATAAGTTTTCTTTCTTTTTTAAAAATCTTTTTTGTTCTTTTTTCAGTTTATTTACTTTACTTCACAAGAGTGCCCCATCCCTCCTCTCCTCCCAGTCCCTTCTTCACCTCCTTTCCCGTTCCCCCCAGAAAAGGGGAACCCTCCTGCTCCAGCACATCACATCACATCAGGTCTGAGCATATCCTCATCCCCTGAGGCCAAGCAAGGCAGTGCTGCCAGGTGGAAATGATCCAAAACCAGGCAATAGAGTCGCTTCACAGAGCACCCCATGTGATGCCCAAGCTGCCCATCAGCCACCTATGTGCAGGGGGCCTAGGTTTAGATCATGCATGCTCCTTAATTGATGTCTCAGTCTCTGGAAGCCCCCATGGACCTGGGTTATAACGTTGTCTCTGTTGATCTGCTTGTGAGATTTCTGTCCTCTCCAGGTCCTTCCATATTTCTCCCAACACTTCCATAGGACCTCAGGAGCTCTGCCCCGTGCTTGGCTGCAAGTCCCAGCATCTGTCTGGATCCTCTGCTGGCTGGAACCTCCCAGACCACAGTCAAATTATGAGGGAGGGGGCTACAGCTGGGATACAAAGTGAATAAACTGAAATTAATGAAAAAAATAAATTTTTAAAAATTAGGGTCCTGTCTGCAAGCAGAGCAGAGCATCGTTAATAGTGTCAGGGCCTGGCTCTCTACCATGCGGTGCATCTCAGATTGAGCCAATTCTTGGTTGGAAATTCCTTCAATCTTTTTCCCCCTCTTTATCCCTGCATTTCTTGTGGGCAGGCTAATTTTTAAATCACAAGTTTTGTCGAGATGTTGTTCTCCTCTTTCCACTAGTCCTGCCCTGCTAGGGTGTAGTCACTCCAGTCTTCCTGATAACCCGTTAGGAGTCTCATCTACAGTCACATCCATATCCTCCCATGATCCTACCCTGTCTCAGGCCTCCAGCTTGACAAAGATAATGTCCCACCTCAGTTTCCTTGCTTGTTCCCAGTTCTCTCACCTCCTACCCCGTTCTCCCATATCTTACCCCACCCTTGATTCCCTCACAGTTCCATCTCCTGCCCAGTTCCCTCTCTTCATCCACTTCTGCTTTCTATTCTATTTCCCCTTCTGAGTGACATTCCCGCACCCTCCCTTGGGCCCTCCTTGTCACTTAGCTTCTTTAGGTCTGTGGATTTTAGTATGGTTATCCTGTACTATAGGTCTAATATCCACTTATAAGTGAATTTATACCATGTGTATCTTTCTGGGTCTGGGTTACCTCACTCAGGATGACCTTTTCCAGTTCCATCCATTTACCTCCTAATTTTTTTTTTCTTTTGAACAGGTAGGAGGGGGCAGCCACTACCCCGTTTTTCAGTTTGAATCTTGAAATTATTTCGAGTGCAACAGCAATTCTGATATAGGGCCTGTAAGATTTCCAGCTGTTGGAGGTAGTTCTCCCTCTTGCTTTGGCAGCTGAGTTCTTTTACTCATCCTGTGGATGACAAGGACTAAGGAAATTTCTAGCACACATTTTTACATTCACACCTGTTCTTTATTAATGTATTTCCAAGAGCGCTCACACCTGTGTTTTGTCTGTGTGGGTAAGTATTTAGAGTTTGACAAGAATGTTCCAATAACACTAGTAACAATCATTGCCACAATTTCTGAGGCAAAACTTTGTGCTCAAGTTTGAAAATTGCTCTCACCTATGACCCAGATCTCATTAGTAAGACTACACGGATATCTTCTAACAGCCATTTCTACTGCTGTGTTCCAACCAGACAATGTATTTACTGGCAAGGAAAAATTGGCTCCTAATCTGACCCAGACATGCCTTTTCAAATTCCACTGGCTCATTTTCATTTTCATTTTTATTTCTATTTCCCATTGTCCCTTGGAAATAAAATTCACAAAATAAATGGCTTCC